GGCATATGATATTTATTTTATATTGGCTTTTTTTATATATAGTAATATGTGAGATAAATATTGTACATTGCAGATTTTTACATTTATATTTCTTATAAATTTATTTCTTATAAATTTATTTATATTTTTATATTTTGTTTATTAAAAAGAATATAGTATATCTTGGAAATGGAAATGAAATTGTGGAAATTTTAAATGCATTTATTATACTGTATCTATATAGCATTGCGCAAATTAAATTTACAGATGCTCTTTTTCTTTCTCTCTATTCTTATTTTATGCATATATCTATATATATATATGTACAATTAGTCATATGCCTACATATTTTTTCTCATTTACTGTTTTTATTAATGTTATCGTGCTCTTATTGACTGCAATCACTGCATATACAAGTAGATTTCCAAAGGCTTTCCTTTCTTATTTATATATGTAAGACTATCCGTATTATATACTTTTATAGTATATAATACAAAGTCAATGTATCATCTTCGAAATATATTTTGTTATAATGCATAAATTTTACTATATATAACTATTAATTAGAGAAAGTTCTCTTAAATAAATAAATATCCTTTTTTTTCCATTTTTCACAGTATATTAAGTAGATTTAAAAGATAGAATTACTTTGTCTTTTGTTGCACACATATATCTGCTGTTCATAATTATAATACATAATTATAATTGTTCATAATTATCAGATTTTATTCAGTTTTTACAAGATAGAAAATATTCACGAATTCATGCATATATGTTTCAAGAGCTAAATCTTGTATATATTTTATAAATAAATGTAAATTGAGTTCATATAAAAAAATATAGATTAAATATAGATCAAAAAGTTTTTATCCGTTTTTTTATTTCATATATGAAAATTATATTTAAAAAAAAAAACGAATAAACTTTTTGTAATAAATTTTACCTTAACTGCCTTTAATACAAAAGATGGAAATTCAGTTATATGAGGGGCAGTAGCAGATCCTATTCCGATTGGTTCAAGATTCCAAGTTGATTTGAAATTATTAACAGGAGAGTCTGCATCTGGTTTTATAGATTCCTGTATTTTCTTTCTGCCTACACACATATCATTAGATATATTTAATTATTAAATTTTAATTATTTCTATTTGCACAATATCTCATTACAAAAAATGTATACATTATAATATTATTAAAATATAAAGAAATAAAATAAAATTATTTACATCTCAGCTCAAAATAGAGTTATTATATATCTATATAATTTCCTGCAGAAAAATTATTTTATTATAATACTTTAATAAACGTTAATAAATGCTAAACTCCTAAACAAAAACTCCTAAACCAAAAAGTGAACTCCTAAATCAAAAAGAATACAAGTACATATGTACATAAGAAATTTATTAATGATTATCAAAAGCGTACAAACTTATCAGTTTTTTGTAATGTGTGCTTTTCAAAACTGTGAATACTTATAAAATAAAGTTAACATAAAAAAAAATTTTAAGATATTTTTTTACTTACATTGAAATTTCCATCGATTAGTATTTGGTTTTTTTAATGAACAACGTCGAATTGGATCTATCTTACAAATAGGCGATCCTTCTATCTTCTGTATTCTTTCTAGCCATTTATTGTAAGAAGGATAGGAAACTGTTAACACTCGAGCTAACTTTGATAATCTTTCTTTTAAAAGACTATTTTTCTCTGCAAGCTGGAAAAAAGATTTTGTGTACACTAGTGCACATTGTTTTACAAATTTTAATAGGTTAATGTTAGGGATGTGCCGGATACCCAGAAAGTATCCGGTATCATCCAGCATTTTTTTACTATCGACCGGAAAGCCAGATATCATTAGTATCTGGAAATATAATATATCCGGTTAAAATTTGATATTATTAAATTGTTGATTTTTTTCTTATACAAATGTTTTCCTATATAAATTTCTAGAAATAAGTATGTATATTCATGATGCTATATTATCTTATACATTGTTACAAAATTACAATCTTTTTCGCTAGGCCTTTTTTGTTTAGAAGACATTTTCTCGGAATTCAGTTGAATATCTGGAAAAAGCCGGATATTCGAAGAAATTGCCTTCTCGGATATTCAATCGGATACTAGATAGTCGATGTTACATTCTGTCCGAATATCCGGTAATTTTACGATCTGATATCCATCCCTAGTTTATATTGTGTATATTAATTGCAAAAAATAAGATTTATTAATGTACCTTCTTTTCATACCACTTAACCTCTATAAATTCTTCTTCAATGACTGTTACTTCATCTTTATCTTCCACCTGTTCTTCACTTTCTTTTGCAAACAATTCTGATTGATTAATTTCTTTCATACATTGATCCACACAAAAGGTTTCAGGATCTAATTCAATATTTTCTATCACATCCAAATGATGCATCACATCTTCATCTGTTACATCCTTTTGTCCATCAAACTGATCTAAGTCAATATCAGCAGTAAAATCAGTTGTATCATTGTTTGATTCTTGATCACATTCCATCATTACTGGAACCAATTTATCTGTGTTATCTGTGATATCTGTATTATCTTGAGATTTTATGCCAACTGCAAATGATAAATGTTTTATATTGCATAAGAAACATTATATTTCTATGCAAATTCACGCTTTTGACACCATAAGATTTATTATGGCTATCAATACTTTGTTAATCTTAAAATATAAAATACAAAATCACTTATTCTTAAATTATAATATTCAAACTATGATTATAAATTACAATATAAGCTAACACATAAACTATATAAAACTAACACTAAAATCTGTAACATAGTTACTAATGCTGTATTTGAGACTTGTTTCATTTATGTTAATTAGAAAGTACTAATTAATTTCAAGGAATAACAAAATCAAAATAACATAATTTGTATTTTAAAAAAATATATGTATATGTGAATACTAAGTTTATTTTAATAATTTTTCAAATTTGTATATGTAATAAAGAATATAATTGAATGGGTCTATAAAACCTCCACTACAGATTCTCCACAATATAATTGAATGGATTCAATGAGTTCATGATCAACTCTTTCGAAAATTATTAGAAATAGTTACTAATTCTCAGAATATTTTTTAAAAGATTATAGTTGGATCATTCTTGACCTATATTCTATTAAATAATCAAAATATCACATATATAATTTATAAAACAGTACAGAGAGAAAAACAGCATTTTTATACTTTTTATTAAAGTCCAACCAAAACTTTTGCCGAAACTGCACTGAAACACTCAGCTACATGTCAATTTCAACCAAAACCAAAATTAAAAAATAGAAATCCTAAAGGCTATATGTACAGACATGTCCATATATCATATATTTTTTCTTCATAAATATCATAATTTATTGAAACAATAAATTTCGCTTGAAATTGAAAACTAAAATTTTGGTTGTGTCAATTTTGGCCAAAGAATATAAGTATTTCTTCTTCATAAACATCATAATTTAATTATTGAAATAATAATTATATATATTAAAATTAATATTTATAAAGAAGAACTATGGTTTCAGTCGAAACTGATGTTTTCAGTTTTGATAAAATTTTCAATTGGATTCTACTTTTTATATTCTTGCAAGGAGATACACAAAGAGTATATTCCACTTAATATTTGTAATACTTCCAAGTATTATTTCATTCTTGTTGTCATTGAATGTTAATCAAGGATTAAATAATGCATATAAGTGTTGCAAA